CGACAAAAGCTCACCTCCACTCACATCGACGACCTCCATTTCGGCTATACTTTCACCAACTGACATTCTGCTGCTTTTCGTTTCGCTCGTGCATTGGTTTTAAACAAAAAATCGTTTTAATTCACATTCTTTACTATGCATTCAGAAATAAAATTGCTCTAGTGGCTGACAGACATGCATATTATAAGCATAATTGATCTAAAAAGCTTTTAATTTCATTTGCGAATGTCATGTTAGAGGGAACTGTAGCGGCTTTGTTATCATTACCTTACGACCCTGCTATTTTACAGTTCGTAATGGTTTAAAATGAAAGGGAAGACAGGTGATATCGGATATTGCGGCTAGTGTACATTTTAACACCCAAGTCTCTTAAAGAGCAAATCGCGGGAATGGAAAACGAATGGCAGTTGCAGTTGACAACCGCTGACATTCAATCAACTCATGGATGCTTCGCTCACGCTGGTTTGATAAAAGTTCACCAAGGAACCAGGAAATAGATTATCATCTGGTCATTCATACGCATTCACACACTTAGCTGGCGTGGCGCTAATGAACGATCGTATCCTTTGGCGATGTCTTGCGTCTCTGTTCGGGCTTTAGTGGATTTTAAAAAACGGGGGTTTTGTGGCATAGCTTAGCTTAACCACTACAACGACATCCACAAAAATGCCTGCTAACACGCAGAAGGTACTCACCACCACACATGCCATCACTACACGACACGAATAGGACTAAATATGAAAAAAGGTTGCAATTGGAAGTCTGCGGCATTCAGTCAATGCATGGATGCTTCACTCACGCTGGTTTGAACAGTTTACTACAAAACCAGCAAATAGGTAATAATTTAGCTAAGTCAATGTAACCGATGAAGAACTGTGGAGTAGTAGGGAGATTATGATCAAGAGGCCACGCGTTTGCTTAGAACCACGTAAAATTTACATTGGCTTATTCAAGTCGCAAATTTGCATTCCTTAGAAACCAGGATAATATCTTTACACAAACCATTTCATCTGATTTGTTGAAAAATGCGAATTTGCATAAAGCGATTTCGTCTCAAATTATAAATTAGTCGTGGTGTATGCAAACTAATATAAGCAAAGCTGTCAATTAATAGCTGTTTTCTTGGTAACATAATCCCACTGCATTCAATGTGTGGAAATGCAAAATTTGTGAATGCCTGAATGCTGAGGCATACCTCAATTTTGAGTGGGATCTTCACATGACGTACAAATTGCACTTAATCTAGTCGCGTGGTTGGAAGGCGGTTCTGGCATGAGTGCCACAAAGCACTTGAGAGAGAATCACCTACGAGCGAGCAATGGCGCTCTTATGGTACGCCGCATACAGCAGGCCTTTCTCGCTGAGGTCGCCATGTCACAGTGGTCTGTTGCGCGCCAGTGTGAAAACACTAACAAATTCTCTCATTCAAAAGCATTTTTGTCTTCTTTGTCTGTAGAGAGTGCTCACAGTATAATGAAACCGTGTGAATCTACTTTGCACTAGGGTTCACAACCTATAATGGTCGATTGAGATGTGGCTCCAGTGATGGATTGTTGGCCTCTAAGGTTTAAAGAGACCAGTGCAGCACAATTTATGTTTGTCATGAAAATGCAAAGTCAGAAAATGTACAAGTGAGACAATATGTATGACTGGATAAATGTGTTGATTAACCAATAGGCAAAATCTTCCAAATTTATATCCATAGCTCACACCCTATCGTCACTCTACACCCCCTTACTGGTATTTTCCCTTTCCGTCATTTGTTACGCATCACATTTGTTCGTTACCATTGTCACCATTGTGGTTGTGGGCTGCATGAACAGGAGCACAAGCGCAATCTGACGTAAACATAGTAGGCGTGGGGCAATTAAGCCGACGATTGCGCACATCTTTGGAAAACACGATGCGCTGCGAAGCAGAGCCACAAAATGTGGTTTTTAAACTATGCAACAATTAAAGCAGCAGAAGCAGTTTGCACAGATTTCCAAGCTCAAAAACTACGTGTGGCATGCGTCAGTGAGTGAACATGATGCTGCTACTGTGGCGCCACCTGCCGCAGTTTCCTACGTTGTGGCCTGTTGTAATCTAACGCTTGCACACTTTCGAATTAGTCAGAAGTGAACGAGACGTAGTTTGTGTGTGAGAGGAATATGATAGCTCGGCTGAGCAACCGATGTTTTTGTAAGAAAAATTAAATTTAATCCTGCATGTAGAATAATTGCTAAAAATCTGACTTAGTAATGAGAAGAAGAGGCGTAGAATTTATCGGTGAGGAATTTAGTTTAATAATTTAGACAATGTCCACCAGGTAAACTCCCATGCTGCTAAAAACCACGTTATCGTAGTGTCACTACTTTAGCTTTGTTTCCGAGTTAAAATATCTGTCTTCTTCCATGCATTCAGTCCTCAGTGGCGATGCAGTTGCTCTTGATGTCATCAGTAGTGCTGCAATATCCGAAGAATCTTACTTTACTTTACTCATCCTTCATTTCACCTCGCTCGTCTCGACAGGCTCACAATTGATAAATCACATACAACCAAATTGTGCATTCATGCAAACGGCTGTGGCTGGATTGGACAAAATCGAGCGCGAAATATCGGCCCAGCGGTAGTAAGCTCCAGAGATTGCAGCTCACATCTCAGCTGATCAGGTGGCACGATTGAGGTTTACGAGTAAAGGTTCATCTTCAATACAACTGGTCGTCGACTTTGACGCTACCAGCATCGTTGTCGCCATCGTTGGGAAGCCCTGTTGTAAGCACCAGATAAAATCTCAAATATAAAATGCAGAGGTGAACACTTATGGCCATGAACTGATATAGAAGCGCTGCTACAAATATCTCGGTGCACCAGGAACAAAGTTGGAGCCCCCTAAGCAAGAATGTGCTCTGACGGGCAGGTAGCAGGAGGTTGACGATGGCAAATAACTAAAGAATGCTAAAGCTACACAATGACTTATTATATACTTTATTAGATTTTAAACATATTTTGCTTTCATTCATTTAAAAACAGACGGAAAAAGAAACAAGCACTCTCCTAACACTGCCCGATGTATAACTGGGCAATCAAAAAAAACGCATAAGCAGACGATGTGCATTTCTCGAGTTTGAGCTCTCGTTACATCTCAGAGACTACCCACAATAACCCGATTTACAGCTGTACTTAAAGATTTGACATTAATCAGTCATTTAGCGCCGGAAATGTGATTTAAAAACGGCATTTTATCGGTTAGACTAACACATTTTCAAAATCAATGTTTGGTTAATTATTAACAACAACAGTCGCTACACTCTTTAATTTTTTTCTCTTTCAGACCACGTTCAGTGTTGCTTCACCACTGACGTGAATTACTGAAATTAGGAGGAAAATAAACTTAAATTTTTGCAAACTGTCTAAAAATGGACGTTGCATGTGTGGTTGAGCATGTGCTAAATTTTAAATTCCATGTGGTGTGTAATCGATAACGTCGCGGTGGCGATAGCGTGATGGTTTGCAACATGAAATGTCAACACAAAAGAAACCACAAAAAAGGCAATCAAAAGCCATGTTAAAGACATTAAAATAGCGTGTTTTAAAGTGAAATTTGAATTTTTTGCTAACATGTTATGCAAATTTAAATAACCAGTTAGTTTAAACTTAATTTTAAACCCAAGCGCTGACACTATCTCCTCTGCAAATACCGTTAATTTCGCATGTACCAACCAGCCGTTTCATTTCGAATTGTTTGAAAATGCATGCGGAAATATTCAGCGTTATTAAATGTTGTACAGGTAGGTTAAGAAAGTTGCTATACAAATAATAAATAGGTTATCAACAGTCATGTCAAAGGTATTGTAAATGACATGTTGTAATGTGAATTTGTAATTTTGGCCAACATGCCTTCTGGCTGCAGAAATTTCACATTTCGAGAATTACTTTACCGAAACTTATTTCCAAGCTCAAACGTCGACACTTTGTTCTCTGCAAATATTAAACAAGCAATCAACAGCCATGTACGTGGCATCAAAACTGGCGTGTGCTAATGTGAGTTTCTAATTTTCACAAACAAGCTTTCAAGCTGTAGAAATTTAAAATTTCTGAACCAGTTAATTGAAACCTAATTGCAAACTCAAACGCTGACATTTCGTACTCTGCAAAAAACTGTTAATTTCACTTATGTCAAACTACCGTTATGTTTCAAATTGTTTAAAAATGCATGTAGATATATTCTTTTCTTTATTAAATACCCTTCAGGCAGTTTGAAGAAGTTGCTACGCAAAATTCTAAAAATTGTGTAGAAATTACGCCTAATGCATTAAAATTATTGCCACGTAAAATAAGTTTTTAAAGGACCATATTTGTCTTCCGGTACTCGTAATGAAACATCCCAAATGAATGGCATTCCTTGGTAATACATCGGATTTAAACAAAACATACACCTTAGACGTGGAAGCAAGTTTAATCGCTTATAGGGTTGCTCCCAAATGCCCACTGGCAGTGAACATTTTTTTACGTAGAAGTGCCCTTTTGAGCAACTGAACTATTTGTCAATTAGTGGTTTTCGTTATGAAAGCTCAAAGCACACATCTTGCTACCTACATTTTCAGTACAGGTCTTGTGAATCAAAGGCCTTATTTATCTGCTTATTGGATACACCAAAAGTTCACGTTTTTTTATAAACACGCACTTTCTTCAACTCCTACGAATTTTCTCTGGGGAGCACAACTTCCTACTGTGGTTTGGCATTACTGCTAATTCTTAGTTCAAGTACTAGCTTATTGCCTATGCAACTGTATTCATCTTCACTTCAAATACTTGCATATGAATATTGTCAGTTTTGATATTTTAGTGACATTTTCCTGACCCTGCTAAGGGTGAATTTTGTCACGTTGGCACCATATCAACCGTGAAATCGATTGCACACGGTACACTAATTCAAATGCAAAGATCAATACTTACAGTGCAGAATCCTCATTTGCGAATTTGGTCTGTTGTTGACAAGTTTTCTGAGCATCGCGAAAATGTTGGACTCGGACACAATGATAGCTCTTCTCGACGCTTATCTTGTGTTCCTTCTTCCGCCATATTGGCCAATGTTTGCCTTAGGCGCTGCTGCTTTGTATGCACTGTGGCTGTGCCTCAGTTACGAGGCCGCTCGCAAACAACGTCAAGCAGTGGCATCCCCGCACCCACCACCTCATGGTAAGCCAACGACAATAGAAGTCGTTTGACTATATATTTACCTTAACTATTAGCATTTTCTTGCTACTTTAGTGACTGATAAATGTGTTTATTTTGGTTAACGACATTTCAGGTTCGTCTGAGGTGGTAATTTTGGACAAAGAAATTGTTGTGAATGTTGAGGAGGTCGGTAACGAAAAGGAAGCAGGAGTCCTCGAACCACTCCTTGTTTTCAGGCCGCAAATTCAAACCATATCGTCAGTCACACAGTCACTGGCGAGTGCCACTCTTGGTGCTCCTGAAACATATGAGGCCTGTAAGTCGAAGAGTGCTTTATATGCTCTTTTTC